AAAAAAAGGTAATAAATTACTGCTCTTTAAAACAGACTACTATGCTTTTAGTCAGAATAAGTGTGCAAAAAGTACATGCGTTTTTAAAAAAAACAGTAGAATATCTGCTTTTGAATATAATTGTAATCAATATTTTGATAATTGCTATAAAGTCATTCAGTTCAATATGGGGTAGATTAGCTAAATGTTGATCCAGGATCATCATGATCAGTTCAATGCAGGGTAGATTCGCTAATGTTGATCCAGGATCATCATGATCAGTTCAGTACCGGGGTAGATTCGCTAATGTTGATCCAGGACCATCATGATCAGTTCAATATGGGGTAGATTCGCTAATGTTGATCCAGGACCATCATGATCAGTTCAGTACGGGGTATATTCGCTAATGTTGATCCAGGATCATCATGAACAGTTCAATACGGGGTCGATTCACTAATGTTGATCCAGGACCATCATGATCAGTTCAGTACGGGGTAGATTCGCTAATGTTGATCCAGGACCGTCATGATCAGTTCAATTTGGGGTAGATTCGCTAATGTTGATCCAGGACCGTCATGATCAGTTCAATTGGGGGTAGATTCGCTAATGTTGATCCAGGACCATCATGATCAGTTCAATATGGGGTAGATTCGCTAAAGTTGATCCAGGACCATCATGATCAGTTCAGTAAGGGGGTATATTCGCTAATGTTGATCCAGGATCATCATGAACAGTTCAATACGGGGTAGATTCGCTAATGTTGATCCAGGACCATCATGATCAGTTCAATACGGGGTAGATTCGCTAAAGTTTGATCCAGGATCATCATGATCAGTTCAATATGGGGTAGATTCGCTAATGTTGATCCAGGATCATCATGATCAGTTCAATACGGGGGTAGATTCGCTAATGTTGATCCAGGACCATCATGATCAGTTCAATACGGGGTAGATTCGCTAATGTTGATCCAGGATCATCATGATCAGTTCAATACGGGGTAGATTCGCTAATGTTGATCCAGGATCATCATTTCAGTTCAATATGGGGTAGATTCGCTAATGTTGAACCAGGACCATCATGATCAGTTCAATACGGGGTAGATTTGCTAATGTTGATCCAGGACCATCATGATCAGTTCAATATGGGTAGATTCGCTAATGTTGATCCAGGACCATCATGATCAGTTCAATATGGGGTAGATTCGCTAGTGTTGATCCAGGACCATCATGATCAGTTCAATATGGGGTAGATTCGCTAAAGTTGATCCAGGATCATCATGATCAGTTCAATATGGGGTAGATTCGCTAATGTTGATCCAGGACCATCATGATCAGTTCAATACGGGGTAGATTCGCTAAAGTTGATCCAGGATCATCATGATCAGTTCAATATGGGGTAGATTCGCTAATGTTGATCCAGGATCATCATGATCAGTTCAATACGGGGTAGATTCGCTAATGTTGATCCAGGACCATCATGATGATCAGTTCAATACGGGGTAGATTCGCTAATGTTGATCCAGGATCATCATGATCAGTTCAATACGGGGTAGATTTGCTAATGTTGATCCAGGACCATCATGATCAGTTCAATATGGGGTCGATTCGCTAATGTTGATCCAGGATCATCATGATCAGTTCAATACGGGGTAGATTCGCTAATGTTGATCCAGGATCATCATGATCAGTTCAATATGGGGTAGATTGCTAATGTTGATCCAGGACCATCATGATCAGTTCAATATGGGGTAGATTCGCTAAAGTTGATCCAGGATCATCATGATCAGTTCAATATGGGGTAGATTAGCTAATGTTGATCCAGGACCATCATGATCAGTTCAATACGGGGTAGATTCGCTAATGTTGATCCAGGACCATCATGATCAGTTCAATACGGGGTAGATTCGCTAATGTTGATCCAGGACCATCATGATCAGTTCAATACGGGGTCGATTCGCTAATGTTGATCCAGGATCATCATGTTCAGTTCAATACGGGGTAGATTCGCTAATGTTGATCCAAGAATATCATGATCATTTCAATATGGGGTAGATTTGCTAATGTTGTTCGAGGACCATTATTGTCAGTTCAATACAGGGTAGATTCACTAATGTTGATCCAGGACTATTCATGATTCCCATAAATTAGCATTTTAAGCAAATTCTCCAACATACCATTTCTACTGTAGTTAATCAAATCAAAAGTTAATTGAAATCTTTGTTTGTTTGTTTGTTTTTACTTATTACAGTGATGAATTAAATCTAAATCTAATATTTTGTATTGAAGGAAGTGCTACTGTAATTGTTATGAACTGCTCCGAGACTTGGAGATGAAGATCCAAATGCAGCTTTAATTGAGAATAGTCATATAGGCAGGGTCGAGAATCAGCAGACAGGGCAATGAAGAATACACAGTGGGAATCCAAAAAACAGGCAGAGGTGAGGGCAGGCAGCAATAATCAAAATCCAAGAACAATCCAAATTCAAAAAACAGAAAAACAAACATAAGAAAACGCTCGGAAATGCATACACACAGTACAACAAGACTTCGCAAACAGTGAATGTGAACACAAGGTATATATAGACAGACTAACAGGATGAGACACAGGTGAATGCAATCAGTGAATGAGGTACAGGTGAATGCGATCAGTGATAATGAGTCCGGGCAGTGAGTTCTGGGAAATGTAGTTGTGAGTGAAACATGAACATCTGGTGTGGAGTGCCCTCTGGTGACTCTCTAGGGCACTCCACCTGGTGACCGTTACAGTAATGTAACTGTAAATATTAATACTTAGTTTAAGGATAAATAACTTAGCTCTGCTGCACCGTGCAATGAAGTCACATTTTAGTGTCTGGTAAATTTATTTGGATACTTTTGCCTAATTTATATAATTAATTAGCTTAACCCACGTTTCTATTTCAATCTTGAAGGCTTTATGTGTTATTTCCACTAACCCTTGATGTTAACAACACCGGCAGCCATTAAGTGTACTGCAGCTAGAAACTGCTCGCCCTCGCTCTTGTGCACACACTCCATAAGTGACTTCGTCTTGGGCAAAACAGTAACTGAACATAATTTATCGACATTATGTTGACAGATGATCGTCAATATAATTACACTTTTGTGATAGTTCATTTTGGATTTTCCCTTCAAAAAGGGTGATAAATCATAAAAATCAGTCTACAGGCTTACACAGCCAACCTAGGAAGTCAGGGAAGCCATAAAAAAAGTTCTTACATAGCCCCTTTTAATTGTTAACAGAAATGCTTCCTAATGGACTTATTGTACTTACTGTATATTATTGTTTTCCAGCTTTTATCGTATGATTCAACATGACTGGTAAGGGTGCACATTCTGTATCACATATATACTTACCCTTTTAAAATTGTGCTGATGACTTTTATATACCCCTATTTACAGACCAACCTTGGGAGTCCTTACTGGGCTGTGTTGGCCAAATAGCATTTCAGCTGCCCATTTAAAAGCTCTGTATGAGCCAGGCTACATACCAGATGTGGTGAGCTATTAGTGTATTTAATAATTGCAATAATTGGTGTATTTTAGAATTTAATGATTTTTTTCAGGTCCTAACTAAAATTATTATCAATAGGCAATGGATGCGCTCATGAGTATCACCTGCAAGGTATGAAATATATAATTTATGTATCTACCTGTTTGTACGTATATATGTATGCATGTATCGTATTTATCTGCTTTTCCTTTCCCCTTAAGAAATTCAATGATGTGTACAATATTTGTACACAATCCATGACTAAGATTCTGTCTGGATCCCAGAGGGTTAAAAGCCACTACTTCTGCAAGGTGCAGTAAATAATATTTACATACGTAAAATATGATCTTACATTAAAAAAATTCAATCAAAGACATTTGCCCATCTAAATATTAAAGCTGCAGATTCTAATGTTATTCTGCAATAGCAACTGATAGTTTTCAAAAAAAAGAATTTAAGCCAAGGTGGAAACTTTCAGGGCTTGTGATGACATATCGTGCATAGCATAAATAAGTATCTAAAACTTAACAAATTCAGCAATTACTCTTTACTTGGAAGACATGTTAGGGTTCTTTGGAGATGTAATGTTCCAGGAAGTCTTCTTGATCAATTGTCAAAGAAGCATGACAAAATTGTTCAGGAAAATAATATTTTCTTATCTTAAAGGTGGGGTATGGGATATGCAAAACGGCCGGCAGATTTTGAAAATACACAACTCAAAAGGTCCTCCCTTCTTCCCTCCAACGCTGGCCCTGACTCAATTAGAAGAACATCGACGCAATCATGCACGAGCGAAAAATCAAATGCGTGAGACTCAGCCCTGGCGTCTGTACAGTGGCCTTCTATTTAAAGCAGAATTCATAGTAATGTGCTTTGAGTATGCACATGAAGGGGTCACGGCACAAGGGGGAGGGGTATGGTACGACCATTTGATTGACGGACTTACTGTCTCCAACGAGGTGGTCTTGGTGGAAGATGATTGGCTGGAGTTTTTTTGAGTCCTGCCCGTTCCACAGATGATTAAAGCGATTAATTTTCATTTCAGTGCTTCTAACTCAGTGTCTGTAAGTAGGTTATGAATAGGATTTCAAGTGATTTTGAAGAACTGGACAAAAAAGAGAATCATATACAGTACCCCACCTTTGAGTGATAAAATGTTGTATTGCAAAAATAAGTAAGTTACTCCAAAAAAAAAAAAAAATCTGGTGTCAGTTCAAGGCAATTTTGATCAACAGGCAAGTATGTTGAACCAAAATATTTTAAGTAATTTCTTGACAAAAAGTGTTATATAGCCCACTGAATCATTCTCAGACTTACAGTAATTCTGACAACAATGGTACCACTTGGGAAAGTGAAAATATAGCAAAATGAAAACAGAAATAAAGAGGACTTCTGACAAGAACCCTGAAATAATCAGGCCTTCATTTTAAGCTTTCATTTAGTGATGAGTGATTTTTGCTTGACAAAAGGCAGGAGAAATACAAAGCGAGTGTTTCAGAGCCAGCAAAAGCTACGAAAGGAGTGAGTTTATCTCACAAAGTTAGATGCAGCCTGCAGACGTTACATGATTGGTTATTGTCCACACTGGAACTACTTACTGTACTTACTACTTACTTGCCTTTTCCAATAACCATATTTACAAAATATTGACTTCTGTGAGTCCTTATTTGGGTCTCATGAGACCAAGTCAATCATTTTGGATTTAAAAGCATCCAAAATGTAATGCTGTTGTTGGAGAATGAATACGGGGAGTAGTGCCTGGTTTCCACAGTGATGTTCAGTGGTAGTAAAGCTCTATAGGGATTTATGAGCTATGAAGGTATGAGGGAGTTATGCTTTATCAATGCTGTCATTAATTCACACATCTCAGTCTGATGTAATACAAAAACTTGAAACATAAGATGCAACCTCATTACAACCTCATTACATTACTCTCCTCAATACTCATTGCCTGCGTTGTTGGCCATTTTTTTCAACCTTCTGTGGACATGTTTTTCACCCAGTCTTAACACACTTGAGCACCTGTAAGGGATTTTGTAGAGCCAAGTTAAGCAACACTCCCCATTAAAGATCAGGGAATTTAAGGAGGTCATAATCCAGGAGTTCAAAAGATGTGACAATTTCACTCTGTTCAAAAAATGGTCAGAGCAGTTTATTCAAAATTAAGGAAGACATACTAAGTACTACAATATTATAGATTTGTTGAATTAAATCTAGGGTATCTCATTTTTGTACAAAATTGGCTAATTTTCTTATTTTATGGATATTAATTACATATATTTCTCTATTTTTATTAAGCATATGTTTCAATTTTGCTATATTTCAATGAATTGTATTAGTGGTCATTAAGAAAATACATCTTTTGTATTTGTTCAGAGGAGATTTACTCATTTATGCTGTGCACTACAGATACAGTGATTACCTAGTACTGAGGCACTGTAAATGTTCATAGCAATGACATACAGTCTGAATTTTTCAAGGTTCACCCTGATGTGGAGTGGAAAATAGAAATATGGAAGCTGCACTATTAAACATTATGGGCAAAAGTATCTTGTCTTTGATAATTTTCCATTTATGTGTAAATATTACAAGTTTATAGTTATGTTTAGGTAATTGTTTGCATCAGAATCAACATACAAATGGTTTGCAAATTGTCACTGCATATTCAGCTGGAAAAAGAGAATGTTTTAACTTGTTTTAAAGTTACAGCCTTAAATTATTTTAAAGGGGCTTTACGTAAGATTTTTTCATATATTAATCATTTTGTTTATTTTAATTCTTTCACTAGTGAAACCTAAAAAAAGAGACATTTCACAACTTCCTAGGTTGTCAATGAAAGTCTCTATTCTGATTTTAACAACTTTATTTTAACAGTGTAATTTTAATGAACGTCATCTGTCGACATGATGTCAGCTACTGTTTGGCCAATTCTTGCTCGAATCACTATGGATTGTGGGCACGAACCCAAGCATGCACACGCAATAAGTTGCTGGCTGGAGTTCAATTCATGGCCACAAGTGCCACTAATAATAATAATTTTATTTTTCCTAGAGCCCCTTTAAAAAAGGAATACATGATGTTTCACAGAGAACTGGTTTCTTTTGATTCAATTAATAATTTTATCTTTACAGAAAGATCTATTTAAAACCTACACTAAAGTTATTGGTGCCCTCCTGGAAAATGAAAATCACTGGACCCTTTTTGTAAGTAGGCCAAATCATAGCGTTCTGAATACGACAGGCTTGGTTCAGTAGGAAACCTTACCAGACTAAATGCCATAGAACGTCCTGGTTGTGCGATGTTGACTGAATGAGGATCAGACTAGGGAGCCAATCATCTTTGAGTATTTTTAGAACAAGCCAATGTACATTGGCGTGCAAGATCTGCATCTCACACTCCCCCCGCGGTGCATATGATAAAATATAATAATACAGAAGTAGATGCACGCACAAACTGCTTTTTCGCTGAGGAGCCAAGCAGCCCCGGAATCAGTGGTCCAGCAGTAGTGGCGAGTGGACTACGTCCTCCGTTCCCTCCTTCAGGGAATGGTGGGTTGCATACACAAACAGGAAGTTCCCTTTCAGTCGAGAACGTCAGACGTTGTCGATGTCGACTGAATGGGGATCTTATTGAAAATGCCACTAGTGCTCCCACATTCCAGTGCCTAGACAGATGCCTCCTTATCCCCTTGCGATTTTAAAGTAGAGAAGGAACAGGGCTTTAGGCTAGGGAAGTCACTGCTGTTCCTACAGGACCACTGGGAAAGCATTCCCTGTACATGGAAGGAAGGGACGCTGCGGAAGCCACATCCTGCCCAAGGATAGGACTCTGTACTGATACTTCAAACCCTCAAATGCAACATGCAGGATAGCTTGTGGTGCGGAAGGTTAGAGATCTGAAGTACATTTCATTCAGGTCAAATTCTGCAGACCAAGTTTGGGGGTGGGGTATTATAAAAAAATTGCCTCTGTGTTAGCAACCTGGATGGAGGCTTTCACGAAAGGTTCCATTGTTGGGCACAGCTCTCCACTGCATCACCAAACAACCCAACCTGGGAAATTGGCCTGGAAAGGCATGGCCTTGGCACAATCCTTCACCGCTCCTCCCTCAAGGGTAGCAAGGGAGGAAGAACCACTCAGGCAGTTTTCGACAGTAAAAGGTGCCATCTACCAGCTAGTAACTTAAATTCCCAGACTGATCTCTTGAAGTAGTGTGTGTATGACTCGCCAATTTGTATTTCCATTTTTGGCGTGCTATCAACACGCATAATCGCTTTTCAGCGTGTTTATGAACGCCGTTGAATTAACGTTATTACTGTATATATAAATATATGACTTAACTAAACCCCGTCCCTAAACCTACCCATCACTGGGGTTAATGGCATTTATGAGTGTTCCCTTACCATCCTAGGAAAGGAAAACATAGCTCCCCAGATGTAGATCTACATTTTGCTTCCTTTCGCTCGGACATTTGACAGCATGTACAGACATGCAGAATGACGCGGACGTTAATGGCGTAGACATACACGCAGATACACGCGGATAGCTCAAAATGACACGCCACTTGACTCAAAAGTGGCGTGTATGTTTACGCAAATGTCATGTTGCAATTTCCTTACACTTTGCGAAAGAATTGCATTTTGGCGGTGGGCTGAGAACCAGCACGGCCCGCCCCGAGATACCAATCATCCAACATAAACAGACATTTGGGTGTTGTGAGAACACCAGTTGAGAGCTCAAAAGCTTGCGATCAACGTTGCCCTTGCACTGTAAGCACCAACACCAGGAGAAACTTCCAGAAGAAACACAGCTACACTAGCTTGTTGTACAACAACACTCTTCAGAAGACCTGAACATGAAGCTCGGCTCTGAAGCGAAAGGCAACTGGTGCGTGCATCGAATTCTGCATTTAGACCCGAGCTGCGGTGCGGAGTGTGAGATGCAGATCTCGCACACCAATGTGCATTGGCTTGTTCTAAAGATACTCAAAGATGATTGGCTCCCTAACATGATCCCCATTCAGTCGACTTTTCAGTCGACCCTCTGACTTTCTCGACTGAAAGGGAACTAATATTTCTTACTATTGACTGTTACCTTGTGCAAACTGTATTTTTTTTAAATGACACATGAGGATTGGTATTAGATGATTATTTTAATCTCCTAATTTTCTGATCTTATTTTGTAGTTCTGTGACCTCACAAAACAAGAAGTCACATACATGGATCCATTTGGTGAAGCCAATGGCAAGAAAAACGAGATTCTGAAGAATTGGAGGTAGTAGATTAACGACTTAAAAGTGACACCGCAACAAAACTGAGACATTTCCTGGCCAGATATTTATGAAAAATACCCTCTTCCGGTCTACTTTCATTTAGTTAGTACTTGATACTTGCCAAAGTGTTTTGTTTTTAGAGTCCTGCTACACAATAATATTATTCTGCTAATGGATTTTAGTATAATAGTGAAACATTACCTTAAATGACCAAGCATGTGAAAACAACAACATCTACATTCAGAACCAAGACCGGTAACACTTTATAATAACTCCACGCTAATAATCATTAGTTAAGCATGAGTAAACAGTTTATTCATAATTTATGAAGTATTAATATACATTAATAAGCAGTTTATAAATACAGCTATAAATGCTTTCCTCTTGATGTAAAAGCATATCTATAATTTGTTTAATAATTGTATTTTCATAATAATCAATTTATCATTTCTAAATGAAGAATTGCATTTTTTATAAACAATTTATTTAAGAGTTTTCAGTGGTTCATAAGATTACTTAGATCATGTAAGTAAATGATAAATAAACTGTACATTCAAGCATCTTATCATCCAGACATATGGTAATGGTTACTTGGTTGGTGTGTTAATAAATGCTTTATTAACATGTATTTATGCTGTAATTCAGGGTTAATTCGGGTAGTTATAAAGCATTTAGTAGTGGTCAGTTAACTATGTTTGTGAGCTCATCTAAAGTGAGGACTATTCTTGCCTTGTAAAGCATTTATAAAGAAGATTTAAAGGCTGTTAAATATGTTCTGTATCACTGTGTTGTGTTTGTTACATTTTACTGTTTAGAAGATTGATTCGCCTTTAAATCTCCTTTATAAATGCTTTACAAAGCCTGTATTTACTACATTTACTTACACTTTCTAAGTGATCTTATGAATGACTGACAACTCTTAAATAACTGGTTTGTAAATAAAGCTATACATGATTTAGAAATGATTAATTGATCATTAACAAAGTATGAAAATACAAGCATTAAACGCATTATAGATATGCTTATAAATCAAGAAAAAAAAAACATTTATAGCTGTATTTGTAACCTGCGTATAAATGTCTATTAATGCTTTATAAATGATGAATTAACTGTTTACTCATGCTTAACAAATGATTAATAGCGTGCAGTTGTTATAAAGTGTTACCCAAAGACCAAATAATTAAGCTTTATTTTTTTCAGTTCTTTTGCCAAAGCTAAAGGATGTGCCCTGAAATGGACATGGCATGATGTGCCCCACCCACGACAAGAGGATGGACATTCTTGTGGGGTCCATGTGCTAATGGTAATTTTTTTCTAATTTTCTCAAATCTGTCGATGTACTTTTATTTTTATGCATTCTGATAAAGTATTTACAATGCCCACTTAACTTAATTTATATTTTAGTTTGCTCAGGCCCTGCTTGAGGGAAAAGGTTTCGTGGATGGATATGCCTCAGTGGATATACCCCAGCTGAGGGCACAGTTCTGCAACATTCTGTTTTCCTCTTTAGGTGCTCACTTTCATAAAAACTAAAGCAAAACACAAATTACAAATTTGGGGGGGACATGATCAGTTCGATTAGTTTGGTCATGACCATGAGATATAAGATCAGGTCACCTATATTTATATAACACTTTTTACAATGCAGATTGTGTCAAAGCAGCTTTACATTAAAAGAGGGAACATAATTTTGGCTGAAATAATTTTGTAGCTCTAGAAGAAAAAAAAATTCTTCTCATGGCCAAGACAGAACTACTCCTTTGATTATTAAAGGTTGTATAAGTCATTTCAGGCCTAAAAAAGGCAGAAACATAAATGATCACATTCACCTAATCTTTCCTCTAACGATCCGCTTGCTGCCTGCTCCACAAGCATGCCGTCCAAAAAGCGTGTCTAATGTATGCAGCCTAGGCTCTGAGATCTGCACACAAAACAAATGGGTACAACCACCACTCAAAACCAAAACAAACAGTGTTTCAACCAATCACTGACAGAGGTGGGTGTTGTGAGGTTTTGAGCTCATTCACGGCTGGATGTGAAGTCAGAGCAACACCCGCCCCTGTCATGACTTGGTGGTGTACCCATTTGTTTTGTGTGCTCATTTCAGAGCCTAGGCTGCATACAGAGATGCAGTTTTTGGACGGCTTGCTTATGGGCGGGCAGCTAGCGGATCGTTAGGAAAGATTAGATGAATTTGATAATTTATGTTTCGGCCCATTTTGGGCCTGAAATGACTGATACAAACTTTAATATATGATTTTTTTCCCCTGCAGATAGAGGAGTAAAGTGCACAGTGTGCTGGAGTGTCCTGATGAAAGATAAGGTACATAGAAGAATCTGTTTAATACTGTAATTAATTGCAAAGAATCAAGCATTGTTTCAATTTTAGGTGTGCTGTCAGGAATGTGGTGCACACAGCCATTTGAGATGTCAACGAACACCATGTGGCATCTGTGTAATTTGTAAGTAATTTCAATTACAAGAACAAACAGCTATTCAACACGCTATATAAAATCCAGGCTAAAAGAGCAAGTTGTGCAAACTGCAGTGAAACTCCCACAAAAATCAAAACGAGTATCTAATGTTGCATACTATATTTCAAAGCAGATTTAAGGATATTTGTAAAATTTAAGGGGCCGTTTGAATAAGGGTATGTTTATATGCATGTTATCCAGTGCTGTGCAATTTGTTTCTGGAAATATGTTTTGCAGAGGTAAGAGTTATTATTAGTTAATAATCAGTTTTGTTTTGGTCTGTTCCTTATAATGTATGACTTAAAGGACAACTCCGGCGCTAAATGAACCTTTGGTCTAATTACACATTGTTACCTAGTCAACCGTTATCTGAGATTTGTTTTCATGATTGCCGAATGTAAATTGTTTTATCTCTAAAAACAGTTTAGCCTATAACGCTAGTATAATGCTAGTATATAGGGCATAGAGAAATGACAAATAAAAATCGCTTGTTATTACCAATAACAAGACTCAAAATAGCCCCACACAAACACGACAGCATAACAAGGGTCCCTACATTCAAACCGAAGCATTGAGAACTTTGTCAGTGTCCATACAGTTTAATAAGAAGATATTTTATACACACAGTCAACTTCACGAATACAGGAAGAAGCCATCTTTGAAAAATAGTCTCTACCAGTCGATCTACGAACACCGATGTGCGCTGGTAAGATGTGAATAAGGTGATAAGGTGAGCGCGAACAGTAGTCTACATGTACATATTGAAGAGAAGAAAACGGTTCGTGTTTGTGTGTCTTCCGGAAACAACGGACCATATGAGATTCTGCTCAGTTCAGCGCACTTGGATCGGTGTTCGTAGATCGACTGGTAGAGACTATTTTTTTAAAGATGGCTTCTTCCTGTATTCGCGAAGTTGACTGTGTGTATAAAATATCTTCTTATTAAACTGTATGGACACTGACAAAGTTCTCAATGCTTCGGTTTGAATGTAGGGACTCTTATTATGCTGTCGTGTTTGTGTGGGGCTATTTTGAGCCTTGTTAGTGGTAATACCAAGCGATTTTTATTCGTCATTACTCTATGCCCCATATACTAGCGTTATACTAGCGTTATAGGCTAAATTGTTTTTAGAGATAAAACTATTTACATTCGGCAATTATGAAAACAAATCTCAGATAACGGTTGACTAGGTAGCAATGTGTAATTAGACCAAAGGTTCATTTTGCGCCGGAGTTGTCCTTTAAGAACTGTTGGTAGAGTCCACAAATTGTAGATGTATAGAGGATGTTGTATCCCAGTACAAGTGTAGTTGAACACCCATTTTAATGTTTAATGTTTTAGATGTAATGATTATTCGTCCTAAGATTAGAATGCCATTGCTGTTTATTATGACGCTTCAAATAGCAGGTGAAGGAAACACTATGTTCGAACATCTACAAAAAGGAGAAAGTAAGCAGACAGAGGAAAGCACAAGAAGACCTTCAGAGGATGAGAAGAAACAAGAGGAAGAAGAGAAAAGGGAGACTCACAAAACAGAAAAAGTGGAAGTAAAAAAAAAACAATCAAAGGGTAAAAAAATAAAGGCCAGTGATGCATCAGATAGGGAAAAAAAGCAAGACCGCAAGGAAGAAAGACAGCCAGAAACCTTTGAAACTGACAAGGATGCAGGTTTTGAAAATGAGGAAATAGAGGCAAGAGACAGCGGGGATTGTCATTTGAATAACCCCACAGACGACATTAAAGGCATCAAAGTTTTTGGACGCTTAGTCCTCACTGGTCAGAGAAAGTCCCCGTATGTTGTCACAAAGGAAGAAATTCAGCGCAGAATAGAAGGGGAGAATATGTCCTCTAATGTTTTCAGAGATCTGCTAGGAGTAAGTTGATTTTTAAATTGATACGGTCGATTATATTAGTTATCAGTTGTATTTTATATTTGTTTTAATCTCTCTTTTAGTTTTATTTTAGTTCTAATGCACTACTGTTCATTTTTCTTAAGGGGCGCAAACAAAATCTGCCTGAATTAGTCCTCAATCTTCCCAAGAAAAAGAAGACTAAGACAAGCATTTTTAGTGCACTAACAGAGGGAGAGGCTTCAGATCTTGCCACTGGTTTAACTAAAAGCCTGTGTCAAAATGTCAGTCCAAAGTTGGTACGAAAAGACATAAGTGACCACAATGCAGAAGTGACCAGGTACAGTACATTTTCTAAATGCAGAGCTACGTACGTTGCTGATATTTGATGTAATTTAATTAACGGTTTCATCTTTTTCTTTTCGTTAAAGGACAACTCTGGCTAGTGTACGTGCCAACTTGCAATCAAGCCTGGATTCTAGATCAGCCTTCAGTTTGTTAACCCACACATTTGGTCCGCAGGCAGTGGATGGAGTGTTAGGTTTCATTTCAGAGAGTCTAAAATAAAAGGAGAACGAATCAATCTCAAATGCAGCACCAAACTGTTTGTAAAATGTTAAGGTTGCTAAATCTGAGAATAACCTGTTTTGTTTATACAGATTCATAAACTTTCCCAATGAATCGAATCAGTAGCGGTCTTTTATTTATCCAAAATACCCTTATATTTGTGTTATATTAATAATTTTGTTTTATCAAAATGCTCAGTGTAAAATACATAAACGTACATCTTTAGTATGTGGAATAAATAAAAATGTTTTATTGTATGAATGACGTATAATTCCTTATAAACACAAACAGAAACATACCACATGTCATCTAGCCCCATTGCAATGGTATTGTAACTGTAATAATTAATTATAGATCTAAAATATCAAATTTACATTGACGGAATTACTTTTTAGTACAAAAAATACATCACATTGAAAACAGGTCTGCAGATTCTTACGAAAATAGTATTGTTTAGAAATTAACAGCAACACAAAACATTTGGCCACACTAAAAGCAGCTCTTCATTTGATACCAAAATTTCATACAAGGTATTCTGCACCCAATTCTATATTCATGTTTTTTGTTTGTTTGTTTTTTTACTTTTTTTTGGGTTGCCTCTTTCTTCCTTTAAACCCTTCTGAATTTGTGTCAGAAATGCAGGTTTTCTTGGAAACCTTGGAAGTCTTTTTTCTTTTTTTTGCATTGCATGGGAAGAGTGGCTGTATCTTCCTTGAAGTGTCATTGGTACAATGCCTTTTTGACAAAAGACTTCTGTCTTCTTGTTGCACATTAACATAGAGATCATTTATTTGGCTTTTGATGTTCTCTGGAACAGTCTGCCATCTTTTGATAATTGCAAGAACATCTTCTAGTCTCCGGAAGTCTAAACTTGTGTCTTGTTTCTCAAAGTACACATCAGCATTGTCAGATTGATTCACAGAACAGCACATTTTTTCATTAATGGTCATGCCAAACAACTGTTGTGCTAAAATAAGGCAGGGACATATGCAATGATATGAGAATGTGCAACAGGAACAAGAATAGGTTTCCAAATCTGTATGATATGTTCCTCTCCCACAAAGACTTTCGACGTCGATTTCCATCTTCACCTCAGAACAGATACTGAAGTGACCATTGTTTTGTAAAGCTCTTGCATGAGCTTCCAGCTGAAGAGCAAATTCAGGAAATGCATCATCCTTTTCTTTGAGTATATCAAGCAAAACCAAATGTTTGCATACTTCACCTTTCAAACCCACGGGGCAACTGCAGAAACACTCCGCTGGGCAGGTTCTGTAGGAAAGTGAGGAGTCTTGTTCGGATGGCACATTATAGACATATATTTCCGATGATTCGCTTGTAATGTGGTCAATCCAGCCTTTTTCCATCATTCTAGTTGCTTTGCTTAATGTTTCCTCCAACTTCATGGCAACACAGTTTGCCATTCTTCCTGCTGATTGCAAGTGTTTTATCACCTGAAAGTAAGTCTCCGTCTTGCAAAGAAGGACGTCAAGCAAGTCATCCAAACGCCGATTTCTTATCCCAGATAAGAATTGGTATTTCAGTCGATGGAAGAACCTGAATAAAAGAAAAACAATTTATAGTCCCAAAACAAGTTCATAATTATATGTGGAATGACAGTGAATGATTTCTGCTTTACAGTCTTTAATAACAATTTAAATTCCTTATTTTACCTTTCTATTAAATTGTTGGTCTCTGAATTCCCATGGTTATAACAACGTCCATAGTCAGCCCATCTATGACTTATTGGTTCCCAGTACCTCTGGAAGTAATTGCAAAGCTCTTTGTAGTGAGAAAATTCCTTTAGGAATTGTTTAGACATTCTGTCAAAGTCAGCCTTCTGCAATTAACAAAAATAGGTATGGTGAGTCTGCAAGTAAAAAAAGGTAACAATATAAAAGCTTGGTAATATTGTATAATATGGATAGTATAATTATTTATTTTGCCTTTTCTGTGGTTTTTAAAAACATTGATACAGTGAATGGAAAAGTACACAATGCATAGTGAAAAAAAGCCTCTTGGTCAAAAATGTTACGTTGCAAATAGTAATACAATTAAAATATTTCTAACTTAAAGGGATAATTCACTGAAAAATGAAAATGCTCACCCTCATTTTGTTCCAAACCTTTATGAGTTTCTTTCTTCTGTTGTACACAAAATAAAATATTTTGAAGAATGTTGGTAATCAGACAGTTGACGGCACCCATTGACTTAATTGTTTAGTTTTTTCTACTAGGGACCATCAATTTTTTAATTACCAACATTCTTCAATATATATATATATATATATATATATATATATATATATAGTTATTTTTTCAGCAGAAGAAAGAAACTCAAACAGGTTTGAAACAACATTAGGGTAAGTACATGACAAAAAAAAATCATTTTTTGGTGAAAAAATTACATCCTTTTAAAAATGGGTTGTCAAGGTATACATTAGGTGTACATATTGTAACCGTATAATACAACCATTAAAATGTAAAATTCAAATACCATAGGGCAAGCTTTCATTTTTTTGAAGTAATCAATAATTTCTTTCCGGATACTTGAACGCTGTGGCCCACTAACACTGGAATCTGACTTCATCAACCACCGAACAATGGCCTGTGAACCAGGACATATGTAACGGATTATGCAAGTATCATTAACATTATGAATCAATATCAACGCATTCTCACCCCAAGGCGTCACCTTTGACCATGCTTCAATATTTGACGTTTTAGGCGCCCTTTAGCGTCACTTACATGACGCGATCCTACGGCGTCATCAAACTGACGCTAAAGGAAAGCGTCAGTTAGAAGACGCGGTTAGGTTTAGGTGTGGGGTGGGGGTAGGGTACACGCGATCCTAGGGCGTCATCTTACTGACGCTAAAGGGCGCCTAAAGCGTCAGATATTGAAGCATGTCCAAATGCTTCCCAAGGCGTCAGTTAGGTGACGCCTTGGGAGTGAGAATGGGCTGTCAATATACAGTATTTAAGGGGAAAAAAGTGTCTTACTTGGAGTACATGGTACCAGCAAAGAAGAACATCAGACTCAGGGAAAACGTCATTCAAAGCATTTATTTCACTCATGTCTTTGTCAACCATGAAGCACCTTTAAAGAAAAAGAAAAGTAAGTCAACTTGTTAAACCTTGGATCCCCCAATAGATCAGTTCCTTAATAAATTACCTTGGTGGCTTAGGGAACAAAGGTCGTAGCCTCCGAAGTGCAAGCTTAAGGGTTTCTTGTGTCTCATTGCTTGTTATTATGTATGCAACAGGAACTCCATGACCATGGTCATCTCTCACAAGCAGTGTAAAAAGTGGAAAGGAATATTGATTCACACAGTGTGTGGCATCAAAAAACACAATGTTACTCCCATGGTCCTGTAAGTCTTTTCTCATGCACTCCGTTTGGAGAACAATTATAAGATCCTGATCATTATCCAGTGGCTGATAAAATACAACATTATCTTTTAAAGGACCAGATAATAGTTTTTCTGTACTCTTATAATCATCTTTATCAAGATGTTTCCCTCGAAGCATACAGGTACGGATATTATGTATGTCTTCTGGTGTAACAAAGTATTCTCTGGAATGATAATTAACTTCTCCATGAGCTTTTGACCACTGATGAGCTTGAAGGAGGATGACATCTGGTTTTACGCCTAATGTGATCCACTTCTTGATCTCATCCACCAGCTGAGGGTGAATCTGATGAAAATGACCATCTTCTACAGAAACATCATGTCCATTGTGCTGGTCAAATACTCTCTGCACAATAACTTTGTGTCCTTTCCAATCATTTCTCACTTTAAAAGAGAGGTATGCTTTACACCCGACAGCTCTGTGACTTCTTTCATATACATTTCCAGATCTTCTGCAATGGAAAATATAATATCCTCTTCCTTTATCTGTTAAACTGGAACAATTTGTGGTCCTGAATGATTTTGTGTGCTCTTTGTTAATTATTTCTGTGATAAAGTTCTCTTCTTGATCATCTGGTTTAAGAATATGCACCTTGAGTTTAATGTTTTTCTGTCTTATTTTTCTCTTTTCTTCATTTTCCACAGACTTTTTGATAAACTCCTCCATGATGGAACATTTCTGAAATGTATAAACAGAAAAAAATATACTTAGTTAATTCAATTTCACATAATGTTTTTGTTCTGGTTATTTTAAAATAACATGCATCAGCACCAAACACATATTAACTTTAAAGAGGAAACACTAACAAAAAGCTGATACATTGAAAGTTTACATTTTAAAACATTTATCAGCTTACCATATGAGCTATACAAAGTTATTGGTGATTTCATTGATTCTGCATCAATGCTGGTCCTGTAACAACATTAGCGAATCTACCCCATATTGAACGGATCATGATGGTCCTGGATCAACATTAGTGAATCTACCCCGTATTGAACTGATCATGATGATCCTGGATCAACATTAGTGAATCTACCCCGTATTGAACTGATCATGATGGTCCTGGATCAACATTAGTGAATCTACCCCTTACTGAACTGATCATGATGATCCTGGATCAACATTAGTGAATCTACCCCTTACTGAACTGAACATGATGGTCCTGGATCAACATTAGTGAATCTACCCCATATTGAACTGATCATGACGGTCCTGGATCAACATTAGCGAATCTACCCCATATTGAACTGATCATGATGATCCTGGATCAACATTAGCGAATCTACCCCATATTGAACTGATCATGATGATCCTGGATCAACATTAGCGAATCTACCCCATATTGAACGGATCATGATGGTCCTGGATCAACATTAGTGAATCTACCCCGTATTGAACTGAACATGATGGTCCTGGATCAACATTAGTGAATCTACCCCATATTGAACTGATCATGATGATCCTGGATCAACATTAGCGAATCTACCCCATATTGAACTGATCATGACGGTCCTGGATCAACATTAGCGAATCTACCCCGTATTGAACTGAATATGATGATCCTGGATCAACATTAGCGAATCTACCCCATATTGAACGGATCATGATGATCCTGGATCAACATTAGCGAATCTACCCCGTATTGAACTGAACATGACATTAGCGAATCTACCCCATATTGAACGGATCATGATGGTCCTGGATCAACATTAGTGAATCTACCCCGTATTGAACTGAACATGATGGTCCTGGATCAACATTAGCGAATCTACCCCGTATTGAACTGAACATGACATTAGCGAATCTACCCCATATTGAACGGATCATGATGGTCCTGGATCAACATTAGTGAATCTACCCCGTATTGAACTGATCATGATGATCCTGGATCAACATTAGTGAATCTACCCCGTATTGAACTGATCATGATGGTCCTGGATCAACATTAGTGAATCTACCCCTTACTGAACTGATCATGATGATCCTGGATCAACATTAGTGAATCTACCCCTTACTGAACTGAACATGATGGTCCTGGATCAACATTAGTGAATCTACCCCATATTGAACTGATCATGACGGTCCTGGATCAACATTAGCGAATCTACCCCATATTGAACTGATCATGATGATCCTGGATCAACATTAGCGAATCTACCCCATATTGAACTGATCATGATGATCCTGGATCAACATTAGCGAATCTACCCCATATTGAACGGATCATGATGGTCCTGGATCAACATTAGTGAATCTACCCCGTATTGAACTGAACATGATGGTCCTGGATCAACATTAGTGAATCTACCCCATATTGAACTGATCATGATGATCCTGGATCAACATTAGCGAATCTACCCCATATTGAACTGATCATGACGGTCCTGGATCAACATTAGCGAATCTACCCCGTATTGAACTGAATATGATGATCCTGGATCAACATTAGCGAATCTACCCCATATTGAACGGATCATGATGATCCTGGATCAACATTAGCGAATCTACCCCGTATTGAACTGAACATGACATTAGCGAATCTACCCCATATTGAACGGATCATGATGGTCCTGGATCAACATTAGTGAATCTACCCCGTATTGAACTGAACATGATGGTCCTGGATCAACATTAGCGAATCTACCCCGTATTGAACTGAACATGACATTAGCGAATCTACCCCATATTGAACGGATCATGATGGTCCTGGATCAACATTAGTGAATCTACCCCATATTGAACTGATCATGATGATCCTGGATCAACATTAGCGAATATACCCCGTATTGAACTGAACATGATGATCCTGGATCAACATTAGCGAATCTACCCCATATTGAACGGATCATGATGATCCTGGATCAACATTAGCGAATCTACCCCGTATTGAACTGAACATGACATTAGCGAATCTACCCCATATTGAACGGATCATGATGGTCCTGGATCAACATTAGTGAATCTACCCCGTATTGAACTGAACATGATGGTCCTGGATCAACATTAGCGAATCTACCCCGTATTGAACTGAACATGACATTAGCGAATCTACCCCATATTGAACGGATCATGATGGTCCTGGATCAACATTAGTGAATCTACCCCATATTGAACTGATCATGATGATCCTGGATCAACATTAGCGAATATACCCCGTATTGAACTGAACATGATGATCCTGGATCAACATTAGCGAATCTACCCCGTATTGAACTGATCATGATGATCCTGGATCAACTTTAGCGAATCTACCCCGTATTGAACTGATCATGATGATCCTGGATCAACTTTAGCGAATCTACCCCGTATTGAACTGATCATGATGGTCCTGGATCAACATTAGCGAATCAACCCCATATTGAACTGATCATGATGGTCCTGGATCAACATTAGCGAATCTACCCCGTATTGAACGGATCATGATGGTCCTGGATCAACATTAGTGAATCTACCCCATATTGAACTGATCATGATGATCCTGGATCAACATTAGCGAATATACCCCGTATTGAACTGAACATGATGATCCTGGATCAACATTAGCGAATCTACCCCGTATTGAACTGATCATGATGATCCTGGATCAACTTTAGCGAATCTACCCCGTATTGAACTGATCATGATGATCCTGGATCAACATTAGCGAATCGACCCCATATTGAACTGATCATGATGATCCTGGATCAACTTTAGCGAATCTACCCCGTATTGAACTGATCATGATGATCCTGGATCAACTTTAGCGAATCAACCCCATATTGAACTGATCATGATGGTCCTGGATCAACATTAGTGAATCGACCCCATATTGAACTGATCATGATGGTCCTGGATCAACATTAGCGAATCTACCCCATATTGAACTGATCATGATGGTCCTGGATCAACATTAGCGAATCAACCCCATATTGAACTGATCATGATGGTCCTGGATCAACATTAGTGAATCGACCCCATATTGAACTGATCATGATGGTCCTGGATCAACATTAGTGAATCGACCCCATATTGAACTGATCATGATGGTCCTGGATCAACATTAGCGAATCTACCCCGTATTGAACTGATCATGATGGTCCTGGATCAACATTAGTGAATCGACCCCGTATTGAACTGTTCATGATGATCCTGGATCAACATTAGCGAATATACCCCTTACTGAACTGATCATGATGGTCCTGGATCAACATTAGCGAATCTACCCCATATTGAACTGATCATGACGGTCCTGGATCAACATTAGCGAATCTACCCCGTACTGAACTGATCATGATGATCCTGGATCAACATTAGCGAATCTACCCTGCATTGAACTGTTCATGATGATCCTGGATCAACATTAGCGAATATACCCCTTACTGAACTGATCATGATGGTCCTGGATCAACATTAGCGAATCTACCCCAAATTGAACTGATCATGACGGTCCTGGATCAACATTAGCGAATCTACCCCGTACTGAACTGATCATGATGATCCTGGATCAACATTAGCGAATCTACCCTGCATTGAACTGATCATGATGATCCTGGATCAACATTAGCTAATCTACCCCATATGGAACTGATGACTTTATAGCAATTATCAAAATATTGATTACAATTATATTCAAAAAGCAGATATTCTACTGTTTTTTTTTAAAACGCATGTACTTTTTGCACACTTTATTCTGACTAAAAGCATAGTAGTCTGTTTTAAAGAGCAGTAATTTATTACCTTTTTTAAAACATTATCATAAAATTGTAAGGAATATTACATTTGTGTGTAAGAGTATGTGAGAAGGAAGACTTTTAGGGGTTATAGAGAAAAGCAAGCTAAGCTATTAGCAAGCTAAGCTATTAGCTCACCGGCACATGGCAGTTGTATGTTCAGAGTTGCATTACATTATGCCATTTAAGTGTAATATTTCAGGATTTTTTCGTGAATAAATACATTTACAAAGGTAGATTTTTAGTTAGGGAGAGGGTGAAAGAAAGAGGACAGACAAAATAACTTACCTTTTGTCGGTCAGCCGAGGAAGGTGGGGAGGGAAGATTCAAAATGGCGTGATGGGTTTTTGGGTCGGCACACACGGATGACATCAGAGGCTTGTGATTGGTTGATTAAATGTTGATCCAGGATCAACAAAATATGTTGATCCAGGAACACCTCTTACTTGGCAAAATCACGGTCACCGCATGAAGATACAGCCAAGATGGCATATCGATGGTAAATTATTTCAAGGGCAGATTTCTTAGAAAAGGGCTTTTCAAACACTTGATGTTAAAGGTGAAGTGTGTATTTTTATTTATTTATTTATTTATTTTTTGATGCTAGAATACTTTAGTATTCCAGTTTAATGTAAAAGACAACTTTAAAGAAGCAATTCATAAAGATCTTGACCAGCCCAGTGAAGTCATGTGCCTAGGTTTGAGCATGTGGTGAGCAGGACGGCCGAGGGACGTGAGAGAAAGTCGCGAGGCCGGTGTTGCGATTGC